CCGGTAGAGCTGTATGGGCCAAATATACACCAATACTTTTACACTGTTGGTGGAAATGTAAATTAGTTCAACCATTGGGAAGACAGTGCGGTGATTCCTCAAGGATCTGACCAAAGTCACATTTGACCCAGCAGTCCCATTCCTGGGTACATACCCAAAGGATATAAAATACATTCTACTATAAGACACCATGCACAGGTATGTTTACTGCAGCATTGTTCACAAAGCAAAGACTTGGAACCAACCCAAATGCCCATATCAATGATAGCCCTGCATAAGAAAAATGTGGCACATATACCTCATGGAATACTATCGCAGCCATTAAAGAGGATGAGTTCATGTCCTTTGCAGGGACAGCGATGAAGCCTGGACACGCCATCATTCTTAGCAAACTAACACAACAGAAAACCAACACCTGCATGTTCTCACTCATAAGTGGGACTGGAACAATGAGAACACATGACACAGGGCGGGGAACATCACACACTACCGGCTCTGTTGTGGGGTGGGAGACTAGGGGAGGGATAGCATTAGGAGAAATACCTAATGTAGATGACTGGTTGATGGGTGCAGCAAACCACCATGGCATGTGTATACCTGTGTAACAAACCTGCACGTTCTGCACAAGTATCCCAGAACTTAAAGTATAATAATAAAAAAGAAATCTCAAAACTACTAAAAGAAAATATGTGAATGTTGGCCAAGCATGGTGTCTCACGCCTGTAATCCCAGCACTTTGTGAGGCTGAGGCAGGCGGATCACCTGAGGTCGGAAGTTCGAGACTAGCCTGACCAACATGGAGAAACCCCATCTCTACTAAAAATACAACATTAGCTGGGCATGGTGGCACATTCCTGAAATCCCAGCTACTTGGGAGGCTGAGGCAGGAGAATCGCTTGAACCTGGGAGGCAGAGGTTGCCGTGAGCCGAGATCGTGCCATTGCACTCCAGCCTGGGCAACAAGAGGGAAACTACATCTCAAAAAGAAAAAGAAGTGAGTGTTTTCTAAATGTAAAGAGGGACCTTCTAACTATCACCTCAAATCCATAGGCTATGAAGGGTGGCTGACAAATTTGTTTACATAAAAATTTAAGATTGCTGAGTGGCAAATATAAAACCATATATAAAGCCAAAATAACTTTTTTTTTTTTGAGACTGGGTCTCACTGTGTTGCCAAGGCTGGAGGGCAGTGGCACAGTCACAGCTCACTGCAGCCTCCACCTCCTGGGCTCAAGTGATCTCCCACCTCAGCTTCCCAAGTAGCTGGGGCCACAGGCACACACCACCATGCCTGGCCTTTTAAAATTTTTTTTGGTAGAAACAGTCTCACTATGTTGTCTAGGCTGGTCTTGAACTCCTGAGCTCAAGTGATCCTCCCACCTTGGCTTCCCAAAGTGCTGGGATTACAGTCCTGAGCCACCATGCCTTTATTTTTATCTGGTAATCTTAAATTTACCTTTGAAAGTCATTAAAAAAAACTTACGGTTAAAAATTCTTTTTGTTGTTTCTGAAGATATTAAGAGCTCAGAAAAAGAGATATTTATGTTAAGTTCAGAGCTTTTTAGCAATAGCTCCCTCACAACTGCTTGTTATCACACATTATCCAATCAGTAACCATGTGAAAATTAACATAATGCTGTTGACAGATAACATAAAAATAAGTTTGCTATTTTCTCTGACATTTACTTTAAAAATCCTATACTTTAGTTAAGTGCGAATGTCTGTTAACACAGAATGTCTGTGTCCTTATGGAGACTGAGAAATCTTTGACCGTACTTTTTACTTTTTCAAATAGAAAAACTGTCTATTTAAATAAATAGACAGTTTAATTTAATTTATAATTTAATTTTGTATTTTTAATTAATTTAAATTATAATTTAAATTTAAATTTGTATTTTTAATTAATTATAAAAATATGAGGTTTGGGGAATATAGGCTAAGTGTATAAAACTACTATTTTTGTTTACTGATATTTTATGTTAAAATATATTTGGTTATAAAAAACCCAAAAATGTTATTGTTTCTCAAAACTATGCCTCTATTTACATTACAGGAAAGGTGCACATGTAGACAGAGAAAAGTTGAGATTTTGTCTACCAAACCTATGTTCAATCCATAATCAGGTAATTGTCAGATGATTTATAATGTAACATAAAAAGATTTTCTGTGATTAATCTATAACTGCTACATTTACAGAGAAACTTCTAGGTAGGATAAACTTTTAAAACAGATTGTGGCCAGGCATGGTGTCTCATGCCTGTAATCCCGGTACTTTGGGAGGCCAAGGCAGGTGGATCACTTGAGGTCAGGAGTTCGAGACCAGCCTCACCAACATAGCAAAAACCCGACTCTACTGAAAAACAAGTTATGGGTATGGTGGCATGTTCCTGTAATCCCAGTTACTTGGGAGGCTGAGGCACAAGAATTGCTTGAACCCGGGAGGCGGAGGTTACAGTGAGCTGAGAACACGGCATCACTGCACTCCATCCAGCTTGAGCCATAGAGTGAGACTCTGTCTCAAATAATAAATAAAATAAAAAAATATATAAAGTAAAACTGGGCATGGTGGTGCGTACCTGTAGTACCATCTACTCAGGAGGCTAAGACAAGGCCAGCCTAGGCAACATAAAGAGACTCTGTCTCAAATAAATAGATAAATAAATAAGATACAAAGTAAAACAAGGAGATACAATTGGTGATAATGACCAGCTGGGGAAGAGTGTGGGGAGATAAGTATCTTCCTTATTTTATAAAGGGAGGGTAACCTGGTACAAAGACTCTGGAGGCAGTTTCACAATGTATAGGCTGAATTATAATAGGGAAAACCTGCGAACATCCTCAATACAGGATTAGGTAAAAATGTATGGCATGTTTATATAATGAAATACTGTGAACACATGAAAAAACAATATAGATCTCTATTATAGAAATAGATATACTGTCCATGATAAATGGTTAAATAAAAAGCAGTTTGCAGAGAAATCTCTGCACAATGATTGCATCTTTGTAAACATATATATTCATATTCATATCTATATATGGATAGACAAAGAATAAACAATGCACTAGCAGTGGTTATGTTTGGTTTATAGAATAACAGGTAATTTAAATGGTTATCTTTATCCTTACCTATATTGTCTGAAGTTTTCATAATGGCTATGAATTTTATAATTAGAAAAAATAAAGCTATGTGGATAAGGTTTGTAAAATAGCAAACAAAAAATACCCCAAAGACAAACAAAAAGAAAAAAAAAAACAACCCAGCTCTGTTGGCACCTGCATCACAGTCTAAAGGATAAAGTTCACATTCTTTACATTGACACTAAGGTCTTCTGCAGGCTCTTCCTGATAGGGCTAATTTCTGGTATCGTAATCTATTTATAGCCTATAACCAGAGCCTATCAGCTCACCAGAGGAGGAACTTTCCCCAGTGCTGAGGAGCTAGCAGGCACTCAGTAAAGAATCCTTGAATGACTGTGGTGAACACTGAGATCAGATGGAGAGGTTGGGGCCAGGTTGTGGAGGCATTTAGGCCAGGCTAAGAAGAAGAAAGCCAAAACTTTGGGATATCTTTGTCTTGGGGGCTGGAGGCCCCTCCTGTTACTCTTATTCCTCTTCAACACTGGCAACAGCAGGTAGAGCAGGAGTGGTCTGGCCCATTTGGAGCCTGGCATCTGAGAAATGGCCCAGAAATGGCAGCACTGGTAGGACTCAGGCCTGTGATTCTCATGTGATGTGCTGGGCCCGCATCACTGGGGCTAACTCAGCTCGGTTTGTGGCAGTGATAGGAGGGGTAGACTAGGGCTCCTGACCAAACCAGGCTTCAGCAAAACTCGTACCTTCCTCAACTATGGAGCTGATGATAACCTGCCTCCAACATGAGTGTGCTCAGAATGCTCTGTGTGGCCAGAGCCTAGTTAACCAATAGGTAAACTTGACTTGGAAGAGACAAATATTTATAATGAATTAAGCTCCTAGAAACCAAGGCCAAAATGTCCATGATTCTGGAAAAAGGGGAAGAACTAATTTTCTATTGCTGCTGTAACAAATTTCCAAAAACTTGGTGGCTTAAGAAAACAGTTTATCATCTTGTATTTCTGTAGCTCAGAAGTCCAACACAAATTTCATGTGGCTAAAAACCAAGGTGGCAACAGAGCAGCATTCCTTTCTGGAGACTCTATGGGAGAACTCATGTCTTTGGCTTTTCCTCCTTCTAGAGGCCGCCTGCATCCCTTGATTCATGGCCTGTTCCTTCATCTCCAAAGCCAGCTTGTGGCATCTCTGACCATTCTTCTGCAGTCACATCTCCCTCTGACTACTGTCAGGAAAAGTTCTCTGCTTTTAAGGACCTCTGTGATTACACTGGGCGTACCCAAATAATTCCTGATAATCTCCTTGTTTAAAGGTCCTCAACCTTAATTACATCTGCAAAATCCCTTATACCATGTAATGTAATCTTTCCTCAGGTTCTGGGGCATTATTTTGCCTACCACAAGGCATGATATAGAGAAAAGTCCAAAAAAGTTTTTTTTTTGTTTTGTTTTGTTTTTTCTGAGACAGAGTCTTGCTCTGTCTCCCAGGCTGGAGCGCGATGGCGTGATCTCAGCTCACTGCAACCTCAACTCACTTCAGTCGAACTTCAAGCGGTTTCCTGCCTCAGCCTCCCAAGTAGCTGGAATTACAGGCATGTGCCACCATTCCCAGGTAAATTTTCTTGTATTTTTAGTAGAGACAGGGTTTCACCATGTTGGCCAGGCTGGTCTCGAACTCCTGACCTCAGGTGATCTGCCATCCTTGGCCTCCCACGGTGCTGGATTTACAGGCGTGATCCACCACACCCAGCCTAAAAATGTTAATAATTAGAAGCCAGTTCTGTATCAAATGACATGGAAATTATCAATATTTTATTACATTAAGATAAGCAAATTCAATGAATATACATACAAAATAATCCCAATTTTGTGGAACCCTTCCTTTCCCCCTACTAAACTCTGATTTTATGTGCTGACTGAGCCACCTCCTGCCTGTCATGGCCTGGTTTCTGGGGATAGATGGTGGAACCCACCTCACCCACTCACACTTGCAGAATGTTGGATGAGCAGAGGGGCAGTCCCACCTCAGGTTTTGCTGTCAGTGGTCATTAAATAGATTTTTGGCTAATTTGACATATGATAAATTGTCTTTTAGCAAACTCATTTGTGGCAAGTTGATCCACAGTTAAAACAAAAATAGTAATGATGATAAGAAATAACGAAATAAAAATAGTCACAGCTTTTTCCTCTCTGAAGTCCCCTCTCTGTCATTAGAGAGAGAGCTGTTTTCCTTTTTATTTTGCCTATTAAACTTCTGCTCCTAAACTCCCTGTGTGTGTCTGTCTCCTAAATTTTCCTGGCATGAGACGACAAACCCTGAGTATTTACCCCAGTCAACATAGCCACTTCTTATTGAGCACCTCATCCAGGATACCAAAGTACAGCATTCATCGAAACGAGTTAAGGAAACTTACAAGCTTTTGCCTACATTTTACACTAACCCTGCTTATTCCTGTGAATCAAGTGATGACCTGCAACTTGGAAGAAACAAAAAGGGATGGCAACATCTGGTGGAGGCAAACCACTGTTACGACCCATTGGAATGGCTGACAGCAATCAAACTCCAAATGGTGCTGCAGACAGAACCAAGCATGGACATGCCTATCTTCCGAGGACCCTTAAATCAACCCCAGGAGGAGCCTTAGCTGCTGTTGCCCATACAATGCCCCTTTTCAGCATGAAGTGGCCAGAAAGAGTCATCATCCAACACCCCCTAAAAGCAGTTAGGGAGACCATACTGGTCAACATGGTGAAACCCAGTCTCTACTAAAAGTACAAAAAAATTAGCTGGGCTTGTTGGCACACGCCTGTAGTCCCAGCTACTTGGGAGGCTGAGGCAGGAGAATCACTTGAACTCGGGTGGTGGAGGTTGCAGTGAGCCGAGATCGCACCATTGCACTCCAGCCAGGTGACAGAGCAAGACTCTATCTCAAAAAAAAAAAAAAAAAAAAAAAAAAAGGCAGTTAGGGTTGCCACTCCAGAGGGGGGGAATGATACAGGAGTTAAGAAGAAATTAATTAGGGTATAGAAGTTTTCCTTTTAATGAAAAGCAGCCCCAAATTATTTTCCTTTCTAACAAAGAGCAGCCTGTAAAATTGAGCTGCAGACATAGATGCCCGCAGTTGTGCCAATCATGTTCAAGATGGTGGCTCCATCTTCCCTTCTCTCTGTCAGCCACTTGTACAGTATGGACAGACGAGATGGAGCCGGCCAAGGGGAAAGTTCATCTGCATAGTAAGATTAGGGTGGGCTGGCCAGCCTTCCTGCCATGCTCTGTAAATGTCATACCCGATGGAACCAATCTGTGAGCCCTGCGTAAATCAGACACTGCCTCCTAAAGCCTGACTATAAAATCCGGGGCATCGGCTGCCAGCCGGCCTTTTCCTCAGAAGTTCCCTCTCTCTCACTAGAGAGAGAGCTATTTTCTTTTCTCTTTCTTTTGCTTATTAAACCTCGACTCCTAAACTCAAAACAAAAACAAACACAGTCACAAGCCCACCAAGTTCTGTTTACTCCTGTGGCCTTGCCTGCTCCTTCTGTGTCAATGATGGATCTGTGGACACCTCTCTTACCATTTTGTGCTGTTTGTTTTGTTTTAAATTTCTGATTCTTTACCAAATAATTCTTCCTGGTTTCCTCACAGTTGTTTCAGGGGAAGAGTTCAGAAAGATCCAAACCACCAGAGTACTCTCTGAGAGCACCTGATTGGAAGCAGGTCTAATAGTGTCGGGGGCAGCCAGAAAGGACCCCACACTAACTGGCCAGAGGCAAGTGTCAGCTCCACAAGCTGCAAAGTAGGAAGCTATGAGTGAGAAGAATTTGTCAAAAGGGAAAAAGAATATTTGGAGGAGAATGTTCGTTTTTAATAGTGCTGCATGGAATTCAAGGCAAAATAGAAAATATCCAGGTTAGAATTCCGCAGTTTTAAGTAGGAACTGAGATGAAGAGCCAAGTACTGTACCTACAAGGGAAAACATCCCTAAAGGAGGCTATGCCAGTAATTTAGTAACTGGGTATAATTTTCTCCAGGGGAAACTCTGGGTCTGTCCTACTACTGCCACACAATTAAGAGATTTTGGCTTCAACATTTACCTAATCCATTTCTGCATCCAAGCTGACAGGTGATGCTACCTCTGATTCCTTTTATGCTTTTAGTGGGCTTATAATTAAGGATGAATAATACATTTAAAACTATGGTTATTACTGGGAGAGGATTTGGGAGAAATTAGGATTTTTATATTTCTGTACTTGATTTTTTGTATCAAGTTTATATAATTTTCCCAGTAAAAATAAATTGGCATCTGATAGACTGCAATGGTTACACACAAGCCTGTGAGACAGGTTCTCTGCCCACCGGATACTTTAACTCTCAACTTTTGTCTTTCCATTCATTCTCCTTCAAATAAAGATAATAGTACTTGCCTCATACGGATCTTGGGAGATTTTTTCCCCCTCCAAGGTATGGTGTCTGACTTAGTAACTGCCAATTAAAAAAAAATCTCCCTTTTTGTGTTCTGTTTGTTTTGGGCCTGTTGCCCATTATGCAACAGCTCTCAAATCTGAAAAGTCAGGCTGAACATCTTAGGTAGTTGCTCACAAATTAATTATTGGGCTGATTTTAATTACAGATTGGAATCTCCTGGTGGGCAGGGTCTGGCGTCTTCTGCTTTGAATTCCTTATAAGTACTTACATTTGCCACAAAGCCCTCACTCAACCAAAATTTGCTGAATTTAAAAGAATTAACACATAAGATTGAAGATTTTGAGTTCCAAAACAGATTTAACCAGGAGGTACTTTGGAGCAGGTAGCAATCTTCAAACTCCTTAAATTATACCATTTAACAATGGTTTTGTTTTAACTCTCTCCTCCTCCTCCTGTCTTCTTTTTCTCCTCCTCCTTCTTCTTCCTCTTCCTCCTCCTCCCTTTTCTTCTTTCTTCTTCTCCTACTCACCGTACTTCCTTCTTTTTCTTTCTTCTTCCTCTTTCTTTTCCCTCCTTCTTCTTCCTTCTTCCTCTTTCTTTTCCCTCCTTCTTCTTCCTTCTTCTCCTTTTTGACGAATCAAGTGAAGCAGTGAAAGTGGAGAAGGAACAAAGAAATCTGTGACTGTGATGAATTAGTTGTAAACACCACTGTACTTGGACCAACCTTAATTTTCTTCTTTATAGTTTTTAGTATGATCCAATTTTCCATCATGTGCATATATTACTTTTATAAATGGAAAACAGCAAATGTCAGTTTAAAAAAATAACATGACACATCTTGGTGCTGGTTGCTCTGTATCTACTTCCCCTCACCTTCTCATTTGCTTCTATTCTTGCCTTGGTCTCCAAAGCCTCCCAATTACTTCTTATGGATCCCTTCTCGGAAAGTGCCCAGAGTTATTTTCTAGCAGAAAGATTGAGGCCTTTGGAATCCACCAGACCAAGATTTGAATCCCAGCTCAGTGAAATCATGGGGAGTATCTTACCTCTCTGCATTTCAGTCTCCTTATCTGTAAAGGAAATAACACCTACCTTCTAGATTGTTGTGTAGTTTGGGTCAGCAACTTTCCCACTTTATTTATTTTTTATTATTATTTTAAAAAATTGAGATGGGGCTCTTGCTATGTTACCTAGGCTGGTCACGAACTCATGGGCTCAAGTGATCCTTCTGCTTCAGCCTCCTAAGTAGCTGGGTCTACAGGTGCATACCAGCATGCCTGGCTTTGTCCTTTTGTTTAATTTTTTAAATTTTTTTATTTTCTCTCTTTAAATTTTTTTAATTTTAATTTTAATTTTATTTTTAATTTTCATGGGTATATAGTGGGGGTGTGTGTATATATATATGAAGTACATGAGATATTTTGATACAGGTATAATAATCACATCAGGGAAAATGGTGTATCCCTTACCCCAAGCATTTATCCTTTCTTTGTGCTACAAATAATCCAATTATACCCTTTTAGTTATTTTTACTATACAATAAAGTGTTGACACTAGTCACCCTGTTGTGCTATCAAATACCAGATCTTATTCATTCTATCTAATTATATTTTTGTATCCATTAACCATTTCTCCTGCTCCCTCCCCCCACTACTCTTCCCAGCCTCTGGTAACCATTATTCTACTCTCTATTTCCATGAATTCAGTTGCTTTAATTTTTAGCTCCCACAAAGAAGAACATGCAAACTTTGTCTTTCTATGCCTGGCTTACTTTACTTAACATAATGACCTCCAGTTCCATCCATATTGTTGCAAATGATAAGAATTCACCCTTTATGATGGCCAAACACACTCCATTGTGTATGTGTACCACATGTTCTTTATCCATTCATCTGTTGATGGACACTTAGGTTGCTTCCAAATCTTGACTATTTTGAATAGTGCTGCAATAAACATGAAAATGCAGATATCTCTTCGATATAGTGATTTTCTTTCTTTTGAGTATATACCTAGGAGTAGGATTGCTGGATCATATGGTAGCTCTATTTTTAGTTTTTTGAGGAACCTCCAAGCTGTTCTCCATAGTGGGTATACTAATTTCCATTCCCACCAACAGTGTGTGAGGGTTCCCCTTTTCTCCACATCCTCACCAGCATTCATTATTGTCTGTCTTTTGGATAAAAACCATTTTAATGAGGGTGAAGTGCTATCTCATTGTAGTTTTGATTTGCATTTGTCTGATGATCAATGATGGTGAGCACCTTCTCAGATACCTGTTTGCCATTTGTATGTCTTCTTTTGAGAAATGCCTATTCAGATCTTTTGCCCATTTAAAAAATTGGATTAGTAGATTTTTTCCTATAGAGTTGTTTGAGCTCATTATATATTTTTATTATTAATCTTTGTGAGATGGATTTGTTTGTAAATATTTGCTCCCATTCTGTGGGCTGTCTCTTCTCTTTGTCGTTTGTTTCCTTTGCTGTGCAGAAGCTTTTAAGGGTATTACTCAATAAATTTTTGCCCAGTCTAATATCCTGGAGAGTTTCCCCAATGTTTTCTTCTAGCAGTTTCATAGCTTGAGGTCTTAGATTTAAGTCTTTTTATTTTCTGAGACAGGGTCTTACTGTGTCACCCAGGCTACAGTGCAGTAGTTTCAGCTGACTACAACTTCCGCCTCCCAGCTTAAAGCGATTCCCATGCCCCAGTCTCCTGAGTAGCTGGGATTACAGGTGTGCATCAGCATGCCCAGCTAATTTTTTGTATTTTTAGTAGAGACAGGGTTTTACCATGTTGGCCGGCTGGTCTCAAACTCCTGGTCAAGTGGCCTCCCAAAGTGCCAGGATTACAGGTGTGAGCCACCATGCCCAGCCAGATTTAAGTTTTTATTCCATTTTTCTTTGAGTTTTGTATATGGCGAGAGATAGTGGTCTAGTTTCATTCTTCTGCATATGGATATCCAGTTTTCCCAGCACCATTTACTGAAGAGAGTGTCCTTTCTCCAATGTAGGTTTTTGACAACTTTGTTGAAAATAAGTTTACTGTAGATGTATGGATTTGTTTCTGGGTTCTCTATTATGTTTCATCAGTTTATGTGTCTGTTTTTATGCCAGTATCATGCTCTTTGGGTTACTATAGCTTTGTAGTACAATTTGAAGTCAGGTAATGTGATTCTTCCAGTTTTGTTCTTTTTGCTTAAGATAGTTTTGGCTGTTCTGGATCTTTTGTGGTTCCATATAAATTTTAGGATTTTTTTTTCATTTCTGTGAAGAATGTAATTGGTATTTTGATAGGGTTTACATTGAATCTGTAGATTGCTTTAGGTAGTATGGATATTTTAACATATTGAGTCTCCCAATCCATGAACATGGAATACCTTTCCAT